TGTTTTTCTTTCATAATAACAATTTTATAATCATAATAAATTAATAAAATTTAAACAAGTTTTAGGGACCTATTTTAAATAACTATAACAAGCTCTAAGGATTTTATTAAAAATATAAAATGCTATTTTTGCCAAAGCTGTCTGTAAAGTATATTAAGTTGGCAAGTATAAAAAAGCATCTAAAAGATTGTTAAGGTATCTACTTCTCCATGCTTGGGAGTCAGCATAAACAGCTAATAAGCATGAAATGCTAGTATTTAGCTTATCATGCTATTACGATGTGCGCTAGGCGTGTGATGCTGAAAAGCATATAATTACTTGTTAAAGTACCTACCTGTCCATGCTTGGGAGCCAGCTTAAGCAGCTAATAAGCATGAGATGCTTGTACATAGCTTATCATGCTATTACGATGTATGCTAGGTATCTAGCATGTGATGCTGGCAAGCATAAAAAAGCATATAATAGCTTGTTTAGGTACCTAGCTCTCCATGCTTGGGAGCCAGCTTAAACAGCTAGTGAGCATGAGATGCTTGTACACAGCTTATCATGCTAGTACGATGTATGCTAGGTGTCTATCTTGTGATGCTGGCAAGCATAAAAAAGCATATACTAGCATGAAAATCTAGCAGACCTAGCAATACATAGCAAAAACTAACATAATTTAGTTGCTGGTGCCAGCATGAATTTTGACCTGGGAAGCGCTAAGTTCATGGATTTCACTTTCTTGTTTAGGAAAATCCGAAGTATATAGGATGTAAAGTATTGGGCCTAGGATGCTCCCTTGCGGTACTCCTGCGCAAATGTTTCTAATGGTAGATAAATTGTTATTAATTTTGATCTGGAATTTTCTGTTTAATAGATAAGAGTTAATGAGATGAATGTAATCAATGAGGATGTTCATATTGTGTAGTTTATAAATTAGGGCTTTGTGCCAGACCCTGTCAAAGGCCTTGCTAACATCGAGCATTAACATGGCTGAGGTTTCTTTTTTAAAGAAGCCATTGCTAATGTATTCAATGATTCTAAGGAGTTGTTTTTCGGTGGATAGGTCTTCACTGAAGCCATATTATTGGTTAGGAAGTATACTAAGGAATGGTTTAATTTTGATATAAATAATTTTTTCAAAAATTTTTGCGATAGTAGGAAGGAGAAGGCTGATTGGCTGGATTTTTATGGTCTTTTCCTGGTTTTGGAAAGAGAATGATAGTTGCTTATTTCCATGACTCTGGGAAATAATTAAATTTCAGGCATGAATTAAAAATATTTACTATTTTATTAATATAAATTGTAGAAAGATTTTTTCATATGATTACTGATGTTATCTTTACCAGGGGCTTTTATATTCTTTAATTTGCTAATGATTTTTTTTTACTTCTGTTTGATTCGTTGCAGTGTTGCCAGAACTTAAGATCCAAAAGTAGCGGATTTGAACATTTTGTAGCCCAAAAAATAAAGGAATAAAAAAACATTATATATTGAAAAATATATCGTTGTATTGCCTCATTTGGGGAGTTTCCTAAAACTCTTTCTTTCTTAAAATGCNTACTACAAACATGTATACATATGATATATATATATATAAATTGAAAGAGCGCGTTGTATGGAAAACACTAAAATTATAGTAATATTTGATAGCGTGTTTTTTCACGTTTATGCGTAAGAAGTAGTCGGAAAAGGTAGCCCGGAAGTCCTACAGCGAATATAGACACCCAGCGCCATCTGCGTTTAGCTTTATACGGTCAACATTTCCTAGAATTCTAATTATTTGAACGTGCCTGTAGGATGCAGCGAAAATGTATCTAGGCAAATGTATCTTGTTTAGCTAAGAGCTATAAGCTTGTTCTTAACGATTGTATAAAACTGTGGTTTCGGATCTCAACCCACGCTTTGTTGTTGCTATTTAAAGTTAAATTTATTCTAACTCCAGGTTTTAAAAAGTTAAAACTACGATTCTTCATGAAATAAGATTCTGCTCTTGGTCAGAATATTTCCTTACAGTTTTAATTTGATGACTATGCCTACTGGAATCTAGATTTAAAAAAAAAAAAAGTTCGATTCTTCGTTTCCAAAATAGGTCCCAGCTATTTTAGCTTATTCTATTCTTTCCTGTGTGTAAGTTCTTTTTTTAAACAAAACTAAACATTGATTCAAAGCAAAATACAATTCCCCACAAGTTATTTTTATTTAAATAGAAGTGAATTAATTTTTTTTTACAAAAAGAATTGCATTAAAATTAATAAAATGCAAAAATATAAGCAAAGAAGTATATTTTTGAAAACAGTGATTTTTAGAAGTTTTGTTTCATGTTCAGCTGTTTGGTTTTCATAAAAATATTAAAGATGATTACAATGTTCACGTTGTTTGCATTATTTCATGCGTTCTATAACTTGCATATAATATTCATGTGCTCCAGATCAATTTGTTAATAAAGTATTAATTATTAGTTCAAGTTCAAAATATTTATTAACAAGCCTAAGAAATAAATTAGATGTGCCTAAGACCCCAGTTTATATTAATTTGTTCCTAATATATAATTAAAAGTTTATGTAATCTGTGACTTAAAATATATTAACGTATTTGATTCAGAGAGGTGCGATTTTTGTTTTCTGTAATATGTTTTACAAATAGGTATAAATAAGAATAGAGAAATATTTTTGATATAACCCTTTATTCACTATAATAAACACAGACTAGTTGAAAGATTAATTTTAAGATAATTTCTTTCAAATTTAGAATCCATAATGTTCAACCGAATGATGTCACATTATATTAAATGTGTTAACAGTAACATGTTTGATAGCATGTTCATTCCTATTATTTAAATTCATTATTAAATCATAAAGTTATATTAAAATAAATATTTTTTGTGATAAATTATCTACTTATATAGTGACATAAAAATTGGTACCAATATTTATATTTATCTTTTTAATTTATGACACTCTTTAAGAAATATGGTAGTTGTTTCCATCACATATAATTGTAAAATCATTGCTATTATATGCAGTGACCGCATAAGTTAAACAGATAAAAGTATATAAAATAACAAAAGCAAAATTAAACATAGATTTTGAATTAAACAAAATGTATATGTGTATATACTACAAATATATTTACATGTGTACAAAATAAATAAACTGAAGTAAATAATAATTCTAGTTTATATGTGGTTTCTAAACTTTGGTGTGTATTACAAGACAGACACATTTTTTTCCAACATTTGTTAGTGGCACAGGCAAATATAAAAATAATAAAAACAAGATTAAATATATATATATAATTTGAAAACAGCTAAAGCAAAATGATATATGCATAAAACTCCAATATATCTATATATATATATATATATATGATCTAATTTACATAAAGTTACATCACATACAATTGTAAACATATAAAAAATAGCAAAAGCAAAATTAAACATAGATTTATAAATGAAACAAAATGTGTATATACTACAAACATGTATACATATGTACAAAATAAATAAACTGAAGTAAATAATAATTCTAGTTTATACAGACAGACTAGTTTTTACAAGACAGACACATTTTTTCCCCAACATTTGTTAGTAGCACAGGCAATTATAAAACTAATAAAAACAAGATTATATATACATATAATTTAAAAACAACTAAAGTAAAAGGATATACGCATAAAACTCCAAAAAATGTATATACAGAAGTAAAAAATTCTAATTTGTATGAAGTTGCTGAGCTTTGGTGAATATTAAAAGAATTTTTTTTCTTTCAGAAACTTTTGCTTGTAGAACTAGCAAATATATCAATATATATATATAATAAAAAGAAAAGTATGTATCAAAGCAACTCTAGCAAAATGATGTATACATGATACATAAAAATTAATATTTTTAAATAAAAAATAATTTTTGTTTAATGAGGCTGCTAAAGCTTTGGTGTGTAGCACAAGAGATATATTTTGCTTCCAATATTTGCTTGCATCACAGCCATATATATCAATATTTATAAATAATAAAAACAAAATGAAATTAAAAGTATATATAATATCAAAGCACCCGTGGCAAAATGATGCATACATTAAAAAGAACCTGGTGTATACATATATTAATAAGCTGAAGTAAAAAAATAATTCTAATTTATATAAATTTGCTAAAATTTGGTGTGTATTACAAAAAAAGTATTTTTCTTCTGCTTGTAGAAGAAATAGATATATCAGTATATAAATAATAAAATCAAAACAAAATTAAATGTATATATAATATTAAAACAACTGCACAAAATGATGTATAAATAATATAAAAATATTAATATAAGGAAGTAAAAAAAATTATTGTTTATATGAGGTTGCTGAGCTTTGGTGCATTATAAGAAATACATTTTCCCCTTCAAGATTTGCTTATTGCATACATATTATCCACCACTTTTCAAACTTCTATCAAAATTAATATCCTGGTTGTGATTCAAAATATGTTTTGTGCTTTATTACGTAGAAGACTAGGTACTTCTATAGAAAAAGGTACTATTAATAAAAATATATTTTTAAATTTTGTAATTCATTATTTAAACTAAAATATTTTCAGTAATATTTAATTTAGAAAAGAAGGAAAAATTTGCATATATTTTTGAAATATTCTTTTGACTAAGTTACCCCACTAAAAATGCTAAATGAAAAAATTATTGTAGTACAAGGTATTAGAATTGTATAACCGAAAATAAGTGATCCGCCTCTTCATTTTCCTCTGTAGATGATTCCCCATGATATATTGATGAATTAAATTTAAGCATTTTAGCTGATGGTATAAAATCATAGCAGCATATATTTCTATCTTCAAACATCATTTTAACTCGAAGAATTGATGATAAAAGTTCGAGTCCCATTCTGTTTCGAAGTTTGGTTTTTGTTGACGTTACCCTTAAAAACACTCTCTCAACTGTGGCACTGCTGATAGGTAAACTATACATATTTAATGCGAACTGAGATAATTCCTTAAAAGCAAGATCACCACCTGCATTTTTAATTGTTGTGACCTTGCACCAGAAATCAATCCCATTTGTAGGAATACCACCAGGAAAAAAAATTTCCCACTTTGTTGTTAAGAGAGGGCGCCACTGATTTTCTATCTCTCCAATTTGGGATTTTTGGGGTAGTAATTCTATTGGCAAATCGGAAAATGGTGGACGTGTATGCGATAAGCAAATATTCGGAGAAAAGTTTTCTATTTTGCTTAAAATTTCCATATTTCCAGGAATACGATTTATCAGCTCCTTAGACGCTCTTTTCAGAAACTGATAACAACGCTGTTTCACGCAACGTGCTTGTTCTGGAGAAATCTTTCCAGAAGCCAAATTTTCTACTAGCAAGTTTGAAAATTCATAACCAAAATCAGCATCCTCATACGAAACCAAGTCCTCTTCCGTGATAGTTTGGGGGATATTCTCAGCAGTTTTGGCAGAAGGGCACGCAATTCTTCGAAAGATAGATAAAACAAAGCTGCGTAAATCCTGCAAAATGCTGCAGATATCTGCCATATCTTTCTGAAAAAGTAAGTTTACTCTTTCAAATTCTGTTAGAACTGGTAAGAGGAATGTTAGATACAATTTATTGACCGGATCTGAATACATTGCAGAGAGTTCTCTAGCATAGTATTTATCACAGTTAGAGGATACCATCTTGAAATGCAGTTCTAAAGCATCCCATTGATGCATGATTCTTTTTATGCTGCTACTTCTTGCCAGCCAGCGTGTTGGAGAAAGCGGGAGAATTTTTAAAGGCTCATCTCCATCGTTGATGAGTTTAAACAATTCCATATAGGAGTCGCACCGCAATGCAGATCGGTGAAACCAGTTATATGTCTCTCGCAATAAGTAGTCAATGTTACTCGGTAATTCTTCAGAAGCATGCGAGCACACCAGATGCAGTGAATGACATATACATTTAACCAGAATTAAATCAGGATTATCTTGTTTCATTAGGGTGAACAGAGAGTTGTTTACCCCACACAAATTAGATGCTCCATCGGTTGCAATAGCGAAGCACTGTTTGATTTCAATTTTATTCTGGCCCGAGAAGCTTTTCACTGTATTATAGAGGACTTCAGCAGTAGTCACTGTAACGTGTATTAACCCAAGGTATTGTGATACAATTCTGTTGTCTTTTGGATGATAATATCTAATGCATAAGCATAAATGTTTTACGCATGAAACATCTGTTGACTCATCAATTATTAATGAAAACATTTCATCCTTGATACCTTCAATTTGTTCTTCGAAAAGTGCAGGAGCAATGTCTTTCTTTATAATGGCAGAACATTTTGTTCTGTGCAGTTTAATGTCTTTTAAGCAAATGCTAGAAGACGAAGAGCTAGAACTTTGTGGCGGAAATTCACTTTTTAAAAGTTCTGTTAAGTGATCCACACTACGGATGCTTGTATGGCAAGCAACAAATGCAGCTAACTTAATTTCAAAAGAAGTGGTAGCAGTCTTTTGAGAAAATATTGCAGGTAACTTTCGCTGAGTTGGTACAGCTATAGTACGAGCATTCCTTACAAGTTTTACAGTAGCTGCATGTTTAGTGAGGTCACTTCGATGAGCTCTCAGCTGCACTTTGCAGACCTTGCAAAACGCTTTCTCAGGGAGCTTTCAAAACGCTTTCTTTGACCTTCTGGATCCAATTACAAAATTCTTTATTTGTTAACCAGGATTTTTGAAAGTTTTTAGTGCACTTTGCGCTTAATGAATCAAAAATTAAGTACTTAAATAATCAAAAATAAAGTATAGATAAATAATAAAAATAAAGTAGATAAATAATACGGAATAAAGTAGATAAATAAATTACTGTTACTCGTTCATACTTTATATATAAATTCGCACTAAGATTCAGTTTTAATATCTTTAGCTGAAAGAAAACGAGAATCTGTTTATAATCCAGGAGTAGAACCTAACCTGATTGCATTTTTTAAAGCGGTAGTAATGTTCCGCCGCAACAAAAATGTTCCCCTTAATTTTTCCTGTTTCCTTTTTACCCCGTCAATTTTTATCTGAATTAGTTAGAATAATAAACTAATATTGATTTTAATTACAAGAAAAGTATTTATTACGAAAATTTAAATTTCACCTGATTCCTTAATGCATTATGTATTTAACTTAGTCATTTTTTATTCCTAATTTCTTTTTTATAGTTAATTATATTTTGAAATTTCATAGTATATATTTTTGTTTAAAAAACAAAATCCATCTTTTGCGTTTCATGGTCATCATTGGGTGGGCCTTGGCCTTCTATGAAATATTTCTCCATAGCAATGCATATTATAGCTTCCTTTTTAAAAAAATTAATTTCATCATTTACAACACGCAAATCTAAGCTCTAGAGAGATAAAGAAATTTTTCTATTTTTCGTGCAAATGTAAATATATGGTAATTTATAAAAGTAAAATGAATTCACTAAAAAGTACTATATTTTTTGGAAACACATTGTCATTCGCAACAACTATTTTCATTCAGCAGGTTTAATGACTCTAGATTTAATTTTTCTGAGTTTCAAAGCGAGTCACGTGATTTATTTTTCCAGAAGATAAATGATTGATAATGGTTGGAGTTAAATATTTTTTCCCCATCATACTCTCTGTGCATTTTTCCATATATATCTTCGCGATTTCACGAGTCTGCGATTTGAAACATAGATATGGAAAGATTATAGACTCCATCACCAAAACAAATCAAGAATCCAAAACTAAAGTTAAAGCGTTTTCAACAACAACAAAAAAATAAAAAAAAATACCCTTTTTGGAAAGGGTAAAGAAACTGCAAACTTTCAGAAACATTTTATAATGGGAAAGGGAAAAATTTAAAAAAAATATATATATTTCTGTAAGGAAAAAAAAGTAGCGAATTTTTAAGATTTGTAGCGTCCGAAAAATAATAAGTAGCCCAAAAAGTAGCGAGTAGCGAAAATTCAATTTTAAGTAGCGGGGACTTTTAAAAGTAGCCCAATCCGCTACTTGTAGCCAAATCTGGCAACACTGATTCGTTGTATTGTTGATATTAAGGCTTTTGTCATTCATAATTTTGTTGTATTCTTGATTAACTGTATCAGTAAAGGCTGGGGTGTTATCATCATTGTCTGTAAATTGTTTTTCTATTGTGTCTGCAAAAATTTCAATTTTATCTTAGATGTTTACTATCTTAGTGCCATTTACTTCAAGTGGTTGGTCCGGCATTTTCTTATTTTTAATTCTTTTAGTAAATTTCCAGAGTGAATTATCTTGGATGCATAGGGATTCTACTTTTTGGTTCCATTTGTACATTCGGTATTCATTGCTTATATCTCTTATAATTTTGGTCAATTTGTTAACTTCGGCTTTGTCCTCTGGGTTCCTAGTGCGTTGAAAAATCTTTCTGATTTTATTTTTAGTTGTAATCAGATTTCTAGTATGCTTGGGTAAACACATTGAAATATCAAAAAACTTTGTGCTACTTGTTGCTGCACAATGGGCTTGATTAATTTTTTCATTTATATTTATTATTTCTTCTTCAATCTGATCCGTGCTGTTAATTTGAGGAATTTGGCTATCTTCTTTATTGAGTGGAAGTGATCGCTGGAAAGATCTGCTGGGAAGTGATCGCTTGAGAGATCATTGATAGTGTTGCATTCAATTCTAAAGTTGGAGTTAGTTATAATAATGTTATTTAGATTGTATTAAGATTTGTACCAGAATTTGCATGGATTTCAGTGATAAAAATAAAATCCAGAGAGTGTTCTTGGATAAATTTTTTAATTCATTTAGTTTTATTTGCAAATTGCACGCATTCCAATGAGCTATCTTAATTTTGTTTCTGATTGCATTGGTTTTGTTAACCATGATTGGTTGATTTTTCCGGGGATGTTATCAGCTCTACTATGCCGACGTTGTAGATAATTTTTGATATGTCCAAAATTTTTGTACTTTAAAGATAGTCAGTAGTTAATTTTAGCTCAGATAGGATGTTACGAGCTTCTTAAATAATTTCTTTTGATGTTTCTAGCAAATCATTAGCTTTTATATTTTGAACTACTTGTGAGAATGTTCTATTGTTAAAGGTTCTTGGGAGGTAGGATTTAATCTCTTTCCTAGCTTCCTTTTTAATTTCTTGTTTGTTTTTGATGTCAATTAAGGTAGGGCACTTGCTAAAATTAGCGATTTTTTGTGCACATTCTTTAGTATGGTGGTTTTCCCCACATTTGACGCATCCGGAAGGGTGATTGCATCCATTTTGGACGTGATGGAAGTTTTGGCAATTGTGGTATCCCACCGCGACCTTGGTTGGTAGCTTTCTATTTTTATATCTGTATTAAAGAGATATTTTAAGTTTTATATATTTCTATTCTTATCATCCCTGTTTTTAATGTGACCAGAAAGAGCGGTAGATTAATGGTGTTGCCACCTCTTCGTCTGGTCATTCTTTTCACAGTTTCTACATCATAGTCGAGATCTTTTAAAGTATCTTCAATGTCTTTTTCATTGAAATCTCTGATACCTCTAATTACAACTTTTATTTTCTTCTCGGATGAATTGAAAGCAATATTATTATCTCTAAGATACTTAGTGATTTTCCTAAATTGATCTTCATCATTAGGTTTGATATTGAAACTATCGTAGGTCTGTCGACAAATCGGAATGTTTTCTACTCCGAGTTGCTTTAGCTCCTCCCATAAATTTTTCCAGTTAAATTTGTCGTCTTTAATGGCTATGGGGGGTATTTTTGAAGTTCTTTTTGGTTTTTGAAATGAATTAGATTCATTTTCTTGCCGATTTTCTTGCTCATTGTCTAAATCAATAATCAGAACTTCATTATCGTTATCATTATCCCCGAAAAGGGGCTGTTTTTTCCTGGGAGTTTCATAAAGATTCGGGAATCTTTTTCGTTTAGAAGGTGTGTTCTGATTGGTCGTCACCCATTCGGCTATCTGGGTGGCGTCAGAGTCACAATCTTCTGTCCTAAATATATCGAAAGAATTTTTTAATGGGATATTAGTTTCTGAACAATTTATTTGTTTTTGTTCCAAGAATATTTTGGATTTGGGACCCTTTGTCCATGTTATTTTTTGTTTAGAGGGATCTGCAGTTCCAGTTTTCATTTTTATCATATTGATTTCTCGTTTAAGAAGAGAATATCCATCAATAATATTTCTTGTGAACTCTTCAAGAAAATCTAGCTCATTTTGAGGGTTTACATGGGGGGATGCTCTCCTTTTAATACCCTTTTTACTCTAGAGAAAGAATTGTAAATTTTCTCCTTATCTATATAGCCTATACCTGTATCCGTAGCATCAGCGGGAAATTGAGGTAAGGGGGTTGGTCTAGCTGAATTAGCCTCCATCGAATACGCATCCGAGTTTGAATTTATGTGAGCATTAAAATGCATCGAAATTTGGTGGTCCGGAAAAGGACCTTTGGCCGATTCATTAGGATCCGAATTTGACTTGGGCGAAATTCTTGGCAAATCCGCCTGGTTATCCGCCATAATTAAATGCTAAAAAATTCCGAAAAAAGCATTAAAATTAAAAAATAAAATGCGCAATAAGTGTAAAAAAAAGCGAAAAAGCCTGAAAAATCGAGGTAGAGTCAAGCAATATCTCTGGGCCTCCCACGAGAAACAAACATCAGCTTGCAGTTTCGTTGTCACCGGTGAAAGCAGAGTCTCACGGTATCCGCTGTGAGCCGATCAATACCATACCAGAGGACTCCTAATAAAAAACTTCTCAAAGACAACTCGTCTGCTTCAGCTACGCAGGACCGCTTCTCGCTTTGGGGTTTATGTAGATTGAGACCAGAAGGTATTTGTCATTATTGATGCTAATTTCTATTGCAGTGGCTTCACAAATTCTAAGGGGGTAGGATAATTTGTCTGTGGGGGATAAAACTTTTTATAAGGATTCCTGTGCCTCCGTATTGTCCTCTTCTGCAGTTATTCCGAGGGGTATGGTTCTTCACGAAACTTCAATTTTCACTGCGGAATGCTATGCTATTTTATTTCAGACCAAACTAAAAATAAATGGATAATTTATACTAATTCTCGTAGCTTTATATCTAGTGTTCCTTACATTGGAAAAAAAAAACCATAATTCAAAAAATACAAAACCACTTTACGCAATTGCAATTTCAAGGGTTCAAAATATATTTTTGTTGGATATCCTCACATGTCGGCATTCTTGGAAGTGACCGTGCTGATATCATAGCTAAAACTACTCAAAACTTAAGCAGTAATCTCTTGACATGTTTGGACCTCAAACACATTTGTAAATCTTCAGTTCATCGAGCCTGGAAAAATCATTGGAATACACAAAATAAGAATAAATTACATGAAATTTATCCTAATCTTGATGATTGTAAGACATTAACTGTTGATCGCAAAACCCAGACTTTAATTAATAGACTACGTATCAGGCATACTCGTTTTATGCATATGCATTTACTGGTAGCCGAACCTGCACCCAGCTGTACTCTATGTCAAGTTGACATTTCAATTAAACACATATTAACTAACTGCAGACGATTCAAATATTTGAGGAAGAAACTTTTCGGCAGATTATATCCAGATCTTTCATCCCTACTTAGTGACCCTATACATCACAATCTAATCAAGTTCCTCAAAACAATAGGACTGTATTCACTAATATAAGTAAAATTGCAATTCTTTTACCTAGTGACTGGCGCAGTATAGCCACTTCTGGCTCTTGTGCCATTAAACTTTAACTAACCAACCACCAACTGAGGGGTATGGTAAAAGGCATAATTACTTATATTAATGGGATCATTAGGTTTAAGTTTAGTTTCCTGTAAGAGAAGGATGTCAGGACTATATTGTTGGCAGAAGATTTTTAAGTCATTTACTTTAGGTTTTAGTCCACCGGCGTTCCAGTGGCATATAAGAATATTATTTTTAATGTTTTGTTGCATTATTAGTATTAGTATTATTTCCTTGGTTACTATTTCTGAAAAATTGGTTCATGATTGTGAACAATTGATTAAGGGGTTTTTCTGTTGTTTCAATGTTGTCGTTTATCGTTTTAAGGTCTTGGCTGAAAATTTTTTCCAGATTTTATACAAATCTGACAAGTTCTGAGATTTGATCTTGGGCTTGCGAGTTTTGTTCTGCATTTAGACTTGTTAACTCTTTTAACCTGGATCTGGTCTCGTTCTCATTTTTGCCATTGCTCGAGACGGCTTTGGCAAAGCTGAGTTCAGGAGTTGTTTTTCTTGCTGAAAAGATTTTTGGGTTGTTTTTTGTTTCCACGTTTTTGGTATTTTAGTAATTTTTTTATTAAATTTTTTTGGGGACTTTTGGGCATTTAGAATAGTTTGCGGTGTGTGGCCCACAGCAGTTTGCACATTTTGTTGGTTCTTCAAATTTTTTAGTACATTCTTTCGTTGCATGGGGACCTGCACATTTTACGCACTTTGTTTTAACATGACAATTGATGGAACTGCGGTTCCAACCCTGGCAGTTGTAACACTGCTTGGGTTTGTCCCTGGCTCTAAAAGGTTCGATAGACACTGGTACACAACACAGTTCTGTGATGTTATATACGTCATCTATATTATCAGTTTTATTCAAGTGTACTTGGAATATGGATAGGGGTGATTGGTCAGAGGATCTTTTGAGTTGGTTAACCTTCCTTACGGTGAAATTTAGGTTGGTTAGATCATCCTCCACCGCTTGCAGGGGAGTACTTATCGAACACCTTTGACCACTATTTTGAAGGGCCTTTCGTGGAATTGGGGGATAATGACGTAATCAATGTTGTTTTCGTTTAGGAATTTAGTAAGGGAACGGTGGTTATCAATATAATTAACATAGGTCTTTATGTCTTCACCGGACACTTTAAACTGGACATCTTCTTTTGGGATAACTTTATAAATAGCATTGCTGGCTCTTATGTTTGTTTTGATAATAACTGGGGCTATCCTGTCTTTTGGGGTTTCAGTCCCTAACCCTTTTGGCTCATTTGGTTTCTCTCAGGACCTTTGCGCGGTGTTCCAGATATTTATTCTGGGCCGTTGTACCTTTGCCAAGAGCGTTGTCTGATAGCTCGCTACTGAGCTCGCGTTTTTTATTTCTAGGAGTTGTTGTCAAATCCGCTCATTCTCCGAGTCCGAGATGGTTTGCACAATTGGGAGTGGGGCCTTTGACCGTGCCTGCCTCTTCCTGGACTTTTTAGATTCAGTTTTCTTGAGGTTTGTTGTGGTTAGGGTTTTTGGCTACAAGAAATATTGCCATTTGCTTTCTCCTTAGCTACCGCGGGCATAGCTGCATGAAGCCGGAATGTCGAGAAATTTGGTGTCATTCTGATCATTGCTAGCTTTGTATTGAGCGCTATGTATGGCGCTCTCTACAATACTCATACTGATCTCGCCCCCACTATGGGCGACCTCATCGTTACGGGAATCATATGTCTCATAGTCGAGTGAGTTTTTAGATATAGGGAAGTCATTTGTTATATTTACATTTTTATCGTTGTCGCTGATTGGTTTAACATAATTAGGATGTTTGCGATTGTATACTGAATTAAAATTTTTTATACACCAGTAGTAGAATTTGGACTTACCGTCAAGGTAGATGACTTTGGCGTTTGCCTTGGCGAGTCTGGTGTTAATCTCCATCATTTCGATGTCGTCAATGCCAGAGTTTTCCTTGTCATTTTGGAATTTCATGAGCTTTTCGAAATGCTGGAGCTGCCAGTTTCTAAGCCACTTGGACTGGTGAGTATTGTGAAATTTTTCGTCTTTTAATGCAGGGATATCCATCTTGGCCGCCTCACAGACATCAATGGGGTTGCACAGTAGACGAATATATAAGACGTCATATTCCCATTTTGGAACGTTGCTTTCATGCATAGTGAAATCGGGAATTTGTTGAGAAGATAATTAATGGCCTTAAAAAGGGCCTTTTTTAAAAATATTTGTATGTTGCGAAAAGTTTCTCACTTTGAAACAGATAATTAATTAAATTCAGCAGCTATCCAGGTGGGTATGCATCGCCGCTGATTAAATTCAGGAAAGAAACACTGAAAAACACACGGCGTGAAGCGCCCACTTTCCATAAATATGAATTAAACACACAAAATGCAATGGAAGTTCTTTTAGTAAAATAAACACTTCAATAAGTAAATACACTCTATTCACTTAAATGAGATGATAATCCTGATAAGTATTGCAAACACTTAGTAAAATCCAGGCGAGAATACTCGCCTATCGTCGTGAAGTGATTGAAACGAAAATACTTATTGTTGGGTGTGGCAAAACTTGATTACAAGTAGACTTCCATAAACTATTGCTCTGTCCATTGACGGGAATTTCGAGGTAGACTTCTGATGATTTTGATAAAAGAATTTTTATGGACTGTATTCTTAACCAAAGTAGTAGTGAAGCTTCCGCTCAAAAGGATGCTGCGGACTTATTGTGGGGTGTGACAAAACTTGATTACAAGTAGACTTCCATAAACTATGTTGTTGCTCTGTCCATTGACGGGAATTTCGAGGTAGACTTCTGAGGATTTCGATAAAAGAATTTTTATGGACTGTATTCTTAACCAAAGTAGTAGTGAAGCTTCCGCTGAAAAGGATACTACGGAAATATATATTCGCACTCACAAATTTTTAATTTCATCTGCGATCTGGAAGATGCTACTTTATTCGATTCTCATTAAATTTGGGATAAGTAGAATTTTTTTCAATTTTGGAAACTAAATAAAGTTCGATCAAAAACACCAATATAAAATATACGTACACCATATACGTTGAATATTAAAAAAAACGTCAAAATTATTGTATATAACTACAACCATTTATTAGAAAAAACAACAATTCCGATGGAAAAACTCAAGACGGTCACAACCTGGTCACACAATCTTAGGACAGAGGATCTTCTTGCTATTTTAATCATCTGCCCATGTTTTAACCGTCATCGTCTAACCTTTTTTGGTAGTTCTGTTTTAACTCTGCGGGATTTGTTAGGTGACTCTCATCATCCTAACATTTTTGCGTTTCTACGCGCAATTGGTCTTTTATACTGTATATAACTGTTTTATCCTATTCACAATTTTATCTGATTTTATTCAGCTTTAAATGCAACTGTTTTATAATACTTTACTACATTTACATTTTATCTGATTTTACTCACTTTTGAATACCTCTGTCACGTTGTATGTAGTTTTATAAATTCCGTGTGACTTTTAATGAGGAAAATTTCTAATATACATTTACCTTTATTTTAAAACCGTTTGTTTGGCGCAGCATGTCCTTCTTTGGACTTTGTGCCATTAAACCCTACATTCAATCAATCAATCTTTTTACTTTTTCTCGGTGGTGTAGCTGTTTCTTCTGCTGGTTTATCTGGAATTAGAACAGGTGCTTCCGCATTCTGTTTGTTTATTTTTGATGGATGCTTGTTTTCATTTTGCAGGGCTTCTTTTTCTGCTTGTAGTTTTTCAATTCTTTCATGTAGTCGACTCATCTCTTCGTGAAACATCTGTTTCATTTCTTCCATTTGCTTTGCTTCTTGTTCCAGTTGTTTATTGAGTGCGTTGATCATGTTCGCCATCCAGGGGGGAGCTTCGTTATTGCCGTTAGTCGTGCTCGCCATTCTGAGTTAATTATAGTGATTAGCTTGCACTTTCTGCACAAATTAATAATATAGCACTTGCTGTATAAAATAATAAAGTAGAATGAAAAAAAGTTTGTTCATGTACCTGATGTTATTGTTATTAATCCAAGTGGGCTGGTATTGCAGTAATTCAATGTTCAACACTTTATACGAAGTTGCCGCACAATCACAAACTTTGTGATGCGTAAAAAATAAACTTGATATCACATACACTGCTGCCATAAATCATAAAGTTGTAAATATTCACATAATGTATAGATATATCCAATAACGATAAATAATATTTGAAGTGTAGCACTTGCACAATAAAATAATAATTCTCTATTTCTAATAGTATTCACATTTTGTAGTTGTAGGTTGATAACACTTTTGGAAAACCATTTGGCGTAGGCGCCCACTTTTTCTATGTTTACTATTCTCGACGATATCTACGATGCTTCTCTCACTGAAGCTCAAATTAATATTTAAATGAATAGGGTAAGGTTAAAAATTATACGTTAAATAGCGTTAAATAGGCCGAATAGTGGTGGTCTAGCATTGTTGAACACCGAATAACCCAATAGGTCCATTGGGTCAAAATTTAGAAATAAGTCAATGAACAAAAACAATTAAGATAAGGAGAGATGCATATAAAAATATAAGGAAATAACATTCTTGTAAGTTTGAATATTATCTGTGCAAACTATTAAGTAAATTATGGCTACTCACCCAACATGTCATTGAGACAGCTAAACTATAAGGTGATAAAACGAAAACGCATAATATTGATCACTTATAAAAAAAACATCAGTTTATTGTTGTTGAATCATTGTTACACATCGACATAACACCATAAAATAGCTTTTGTAAATTCATCAAGCACAAGAATAAAACAACATTTTCCGCAGAGTATTTCCAATATTTACATCACTAGCTCAAAATCTTGTCATTCAAAAATCATGAAAAAAAAGAGTGAACGTACCCTTTTTTCCGTCATGCATCGCCTTAAGAAAGCTCGGGGGTCTCTCTTGAAAAGCCAATGAGGGCCACTTGTTTGGCAATGAAAAGCCACTTGTTTGGCAAAAAGAAACAAAACAAATGCTTAACATATCCTATGTTTTTTTTTTTTTTTTTTTTTTTTTTTTTTTTTTTTTTTTTTTTNTTTTTTTTTTTTTTTTTTTTAAATCTATTTATGTATGTATAATACGAACTGTGCATCTAATTTTATTGGAATTTGTGTTAATACTACTCCTAATTTTTTTTTTTTTTTTTTTAATTACAATTGAGTTTGGGAGAAATAAAATTGACACGAGAAG